CCATGCCATGCAACCATGCTGCTATGCAATGCAGCTACATGGCACTGTGCTGCTGTGCCATGCATCGCTGTGTCATCCTGCCATGCAACTGGAGGGCACCATGCAGCCATGCCATGCATCCACACAGCACCGTGCCACTGTGCCATGCATTGCTGTGCACCGTGCCATGCAGCAGTGTGCTGAGGGCACGTGGAAGGCATTGGGGATGCAGGCAGGGGGGAAAACGGGCCGGAAAATGGGGTTTAGGTGGCTGACCCCAAATTTCCTTCCATCTGGGCTCATTCTGGACTCCCTGTTCCTGCTCCCTGCCTCCCATCACCCCAAGGTCCTATGTCCCAGCATCCCCTTGACACCTGGATGCGCCACTGCGCCCACATCTCCCGTGTCCCCTGCGTACACCCCAAACCCTCTGAATGGAGGGGTTCATGCAGGGACAAACCTCGGGGCAGCCGGAGAGCCGGGACCCCCTTCCAGAGCTCCATCACTGGAGGGAAACCATCGCTTCCCACCCACTTTTGGGGTGCATCGATCACCCCAACCGCGGCACCTCCCAGCCCCAGCGGAGCCAAGTCCCGCTCCGGCGGCGGCAGCAGCTCCAGCGCTGAGGGGTTATAAATAACCCCGAGGTTTCGGGTCTTACCCCCACCCTGCCGTGCCCCGGCCGAGCCCTGCGGTTTGCACCGCGGCACCGCTTGAGCTCTAAGCCCGTCTCTGCTCCGCCGGCAACGCGAGGAGCCGGGAGCCTGCGGTGCCGAGCGAGGTGCACAAAAACCCCCTAAAACCCCAGAAAAAAAAAGGCTGGTTTCTTCCTCCCAGCTCCTCGCAGCAGCTCGGGGCCGCTGCAGCACCCGGCGGGGCTGCTCAGCCCAGAGCCTGCATCACCGCGGCTCCGTGGGGCTTTGGTGGTGAGGGCTCAGGTGGTGGTGAAGCATCGGCCCCAGGAGAGCTCGGAGCCCCTCGCTGCCTCCCTTTGATGTGGCTGCAGCTCTCATCGGCGGCAGGAACCACGGAGGCGATGCTCGGCACAGCGGCGGTGGGGTGGGCGCTGCCACGGCTCGGATGGAGCCTGTGGTACCCGGGATGCTCGGGGCCGCCGTGCATCCCGGCCCCGCGGAGCACGTGTGAGGCTCCTCGTTACAAGAACCGCTTTCTTTTTCCCCTTCCTCTCTTTTCTCTCTCTTTCCTCCTCTCCATCGCAAGGGCAAGTCTGAGTCAGCAGCGCCCGGGTTGGGCTGCGGGCTCAGCTCTTCGTACGCTGCTTCCCTGGTGCCATGGCACTGCCCAAGCCATGCTTCCTGCCGGGGCCATGCCTGATGTATCCCCCTGCTCCCAGACCCTCGCTTTGCTCCTTAACCCCAAGCTGCTGTGAAGGGGCTCCGTGGTGTTGCCATTGGTGCCGTGGGGGTTCTGAGGGGCTGTTCGGGGGGGTTACTGTGATGCTGGGGCAATACCGGGGTGTATCAGTGGTTTCTGTGGCCCTGGGAGGATGCTGGAGGGGAGCTGTTGTGGTTCCGGTGCTGTTGGGGTGGAGATGGGGGTGCTGCTGCCCTTTGGTGCATGGTGCCATCCCTGTCGTGAGCTCACAGGTCTCTGCCTTGGGCCAGTGGGATATGCTGGGGTATGCCAGGACACCCGAAATAACCCCCGCACTCGCTGCCCCCCATCCTCACCCACCGGGTACTGGCTGCTGGAAGCGGCAAAGCACAAGGGAAGGAGGAAGAGGAGGAGAGAGGGATGGGGCCAGGGTTCCCCTCACTCCTTTTCCACCAAGGAGGGGGGTTCAGGCTGAATTCCCCCATCCATCACCCCATGTATATCATACCTGGGGGGAAGGCTGAGGACTCCCATGTCCCCCATGTTGGTCTGGACCAGACTGCAAACCTGGGCTGGCAACTGGGACTACTGAGGCCGGTGATGGAAAAGGAGGGATTGAACTTGGAGGAAGGGGGGCCAGACTCCCCAGCCTAAGGCTGGGATTTTGGGGTGTGGGGCACAGCGGGGTGCATCCCCATGGGGCACCGGGGGGTGGCAGCTGCAGCCCCAGGGCCGCAGGGTCCCCCCTGTCCATCCCATCCTGTCCCCTTCCTGCCCTTGGCGCAGGCTGGCGCCCAGCCCGAAATAGCAGCGGTGTTGGTTTCCGATCCGGAAGGTGCTTGGGGAGGGGGAGGAAGATGCCGGGGCGGGGGGGGGGGGGAATCATCCCCGAGAGCATCCCCCCAGCTGCCAGGGTCAGTCAGCTCCTCACGGGCACCGGGACGGGGGGGGGGCAATGACCGGGCATTGCGCTGCCTCAGTTTCCCTATCCCCACCATGGCAGAGCTTGAGCCGGGGGGGGGGGTTAAACACTGTCTGTCCCTTTCCCCCCCCCCCAGGCGCATGTTCCCGTTCCTCAGCTTCACCCTCTCAGGGCTCAACCCCGTAGCCCACTACAGCGTCTGCGTGGACGTGGTGCTGATGGACCAGCATCACTGGCGCTACCAGGGCGGCAAGTGGGTGCAGTGTGGCAAAGCCGAAGGCAATATGCCAGGTACGGGCTCCCAGTCCTCATCCTCACCCTCCTCATGGTGCCGAGAGCGGGGTAACCCCATCCCTGCCGCCTCTTTATCCCCCAGGGAACCGCCTCTACCTGCACCCCGACTCTCCCAACACGGGCGCGCACTGGATGCGACAAGAGGTCTCCTTTGGGAAGCTGAAGCTCACCAACAACAAGGGCGCATCCAACAACGTCGGGCAGGTGAGGCTCCCCACCATAAACCACCCTATAGCCCCCCTATAGCCCCCCCTGACCGCCCGCTGCCCCCCCTCAGATGATCGTGCTGCAGTCGCTGCACAAGTACCAGCCGCGGCTGCATGTGACGGAGGTGCAGGAGGGTGAGGATGAGGGGTTCCCCTCCCCACACACGCACACCTTCGCCTTCCCAGAGACGCAGTTCATCGCCGTCACGGCCTACCAGAACGCTGATGTGAGTATGAGACCCCCCCTCCTCCGGTCCCTGGTATGGGGGTACCCCCACAAACATCCCCCCCCTCTGCTTCCAGCACAGGGACCCCAACATCCTCCCTCCAGCCTCCTCCCAGGGCCGCAGCAACCACTGATACACCCCGATATCACCCCAACATCACAGTAACCACCTCGGAACCGCTTCCCCCCCCCAGCACCATCGAAGGTCCCCAGCATTAGGGAAACCCCAACGGCATCCTCCAAACACCCCTGTCTATAGCATCTCTGCACACCCCCCATCTCCTCAGCATCCCAGTGCCTCTCCCCGAAGCCCAGCACCCACTCAGCATCCCAACACCCTTCAGTGCCCCCCCAGCACCCCAACAGCAGCCCAGCATCACCCCCATTCTCCCGGATGCAGCTGAACCTCATGGGTGATGGAGCAGGGGTCCAGGGATGGGCAGGGGGCACTCTGGCGGGGTGCAGGGTGCATCCCGGGGTGCGGAGGGGGGGGGATCAGACTGGCAGCAGCACCCCCATGTCCATACCCCCCCCCCCCCCCCCCCAGATCACGCAGCTGAAGATCGACCACAACCCCTTCGCCAAAGGATTCCGGGATAACTTTGACTCGTGAGTGTGTGTCCCCCCCCTTCCTGCCGGTACCCCCCCCCCCCCAACTCTGTTGGTAAGAGGGCACCCCCCGACTCCCACCCTGTGCCCCCCCCCCCCCCAGGATGTACACGGCCTCGGAGGGCGACCGCCTCACCCCGTCCCCGTTGGAGGGTCCCGGCTGCCGGCAGCTCCTGCCCGCCCCCCGCTTCCAGCCCTTCCTGCCCGAGCAGTTCCCGTTGCCCCCGGGGCGCCTCTTCAGTGCGGAGCGGGGGGCTCCGCTGCCGCTGCCCCCCAAAGACCCCCCGCGCTGGTACTTCACCCCCCAGCAACCCCCCCCCGCCACGGGCACCCTGGAGTACGGCGGCTACGAAGCGGGGTACGGGGGGGGCAAGCTGGTGCCCTATGGGGTGAAGCCCTTCACCCTGCCGCCCGCCCCACATCAACCCCTGCCCTATTACCCCGAGGGGCCGGCGGGGTTCGGGGTGGCGGGGGCCTGGAGCCCTGGGCAATACGGCCCCAAGGGCAGCCCCGGGGCTCTAGGCTGGTACCGGGAGCCCCGGGAGGAGAAGGGGAAGGAAGCAGAGGGCTGGCCCCCCGAGCCCCCCGCCCCAGCGGACTCCGTGGACTTGGGGCTGTACGAGTGCAAGCGGCGGCGGGTGTCCCCGTACCCCTCCAGCGCCGAAAGCTCCCCCCCACCCCGCAATGGGGACCTCTATGACAAGGACCCGGGTGCCGACGGTGGCTACTATGGCTTCTACGGCAACTGAGCCACACTTGGGGGGCTCAAAACCCATCCCCACGGGCACCCCAAAGCCTCAGGACCCAAGGGGTGCAATGTGTGCGTGTGTTGTTCCCCCCCCCAGTTCAACATCATATCCTGGGAAGACTTGAGCATGTTGGGGGGCAGGATGAAGCCAGACAATCAATCAGCCCCCAGTGCCACCCCGGTGGGGCCATGGGGGCAAGCGAGGAGGGAACAGGGAGGAAGGGGGTGGTTTTTTGTCGTTGGTTGGTTTTAAGGTGTCGGGGGGGGGGTGGTGTTAATGCTGAAGTATTTATTGAGCCCCCCACGTGCCCGGTGTGGGGCTGGGGGCAGCAGCATATCTCGCAATAAAGGGGACGCTGTGGGGCACAGCTCTTTGCTATCCTTTGCATGTACATGGGGGGGGGGAAACTGAGGCATGGGGAGGAGGGTGAAGGGACCCCTGTGTCCGTCCCCCCCCCCCATCCTGGCCTGGGAGGGGAGACCTGGATGGGGGAGAAGGAAGCCCTCCACACACCCCATCTCTTTACAGCCTTTATTGGAGCAACCCCTGGGGGGCCAGAGGGGTCTGCCCGCCCGCGGGCACCCCACAACCCCCTGCTGCCCGCTCCCCCAGGGCAGTGGGGGGACACCGCCAGCCCCTGCCCCATTGAGTCCCAGCCAGCCCTGAGGCTCTGCCCCAGGGTTGGGGGGCTGGCTCCACGTGCCCAGTGCTGGGGGAACCAGCCCCACTGCTGTGATGAGCCTGGGGAGGGGCTCAGCACCCTATTGCGGGGGTCACTACCAGAGCACCGCGCTGTCCAGGTGGGCAAAGCCGGGATCCAGGCGCAGCTTCCAATAGGTGTTGTTGGTGACCCACGACTCCTTGCCATTAGCATCCATCAGCCGCCTAGGGATGGAGTGGGGGGGACCGTGCCATCAGGACTCCCAAGGGGTGTCCCCATTCCATGAGAACCCCACATCCCGCTAAGCCATGGGGCGCCCCACGCCTTGCCCCACAAGCTGGACCTGAAGAAGCGAGCCTGGTGCGTGATGTTGTTCTCCTCCATCACCCGGCGCCGGTCCCGCTGCAGCTGCTCGATTTGGCGCTTCTGCGTCTCGGCCGCCGGGACGTTGCCTTCCTCCAGGTACCTGAGGAGGATGAGGCCGCGGCTGCGATGCCCTGGGCAGCCTCAGCACCCCCGAACCGCGGTGTTGGGGCGCTTGGCTCACCGCTGGTCGGGCCGCAGGCGGGTGTCAGTGGAGGGCAGGACGCGGCGCAGCTCCGGCGTCAGCTCGTTCAGCTCCAGGGCGAACTGCGTGAAGCCGTAGTTCTTCTCATGGTCACGGGGCATGGGGTCTGGAGGGATGGGGGGGGCACAGTGCTGAGACACCCCCCCCTTCCCCATGCACTTGTATGTATGTGTGTGTGTGTGACCCCACCGGTCCTTACTGGCCCTCCAGACGCAGTGCCCCGGTGCCGGCCCGCGGTGCAGCCCCTCGTGCCACTTCCCGGCCAGGCGCTCCACCACGGCCCCGCTGCGGCTCAGCACCAAGCCCTGCACCTCGTTGGCCCCTGCGCCCCAGTACCGAGCCTGCGGGAGGGGCAAGGTGGGGGGGGGGGGGAAAGGGGGGAGCTATGGGAAAGAGTATGGATATGGGAAGGGATGGGGTGTGGGAAACGGGCGGGGCCGTGGGAAACGGGTGGGGCCGTGGGAAAGGGGCGGGGCCATGAGAAATAGGGAGGAGTCATTGGGAAGGGATGGGGCCGTTGGGAAGGGGGGATCCACGAGTGATGGAGTGGAGTCATTGGGAAGGATGGGGCCATAGGGAAGGGGGAATCTATGAGTGATGGAGTGGAGCCATTGGGAAGGGATGGGGCCATTGGGAAGGGGGAATCCATGAGTGATGGAGTGGAGCCATTGGGAAGGATGGGGCCATAGGGAAGGGGGGATCCACGAGTGATGGAGTGGAGCCATTGGGAAGGATGGGGCCATAGGGAATGGGGGATCCATGAGTGATGGAGTGGAGTCATTGGGAAGGTATGGGGCCATTGGGAAGGGGGAATCCATGAGTGATGGAGTCATTGGGAAGGATGGGGCCGTTGGGAAGGGGGAATCCACGAGTGATGGAGTGGACTCATTGGGAAGGATGGGGCCATTGGGAAGGGGGAATCCATGAGTGATGGAGTGGAGCTATTGGGAATGGGTCACCTAAACGAGGGGCCACTGGGAAAGGGGCAGTGCTACCGGGTAATAGGCAGGGGTATTGGAAAAGGATGTGGCCATGGGAAAAGGAAAGGGGGGAATAGGGTAGGACATGATAAGGCGTGTCATGACATGTCGCAGCATGTCGTGGCGTGTCGGCCGCACCTTGCCGAAGGTGATCTTGCAGTGGTAGGCAGCATCCCGTGTGTTGCGGATCAGCACCTCGCCGTAGTGCTCGATCCAGCGCGGGCCGCTCAGCACGTTGTGGATGCACGTGGTCACCTTGTTCCATTGGAAGTGGTCCCCGGTCCTGCGGGAGCACGAGGGCGGGATGGGGATGGTGACGGTGATGGTGGCGGTGACAGTGGGGAGGCACCTCCTGGTGCTGGGCTCTCACCGTGGCAGCTGCACATTGACGGTGCCCACAGGGACGATCTCCAGGGACTTGCCCCAGAACTTATTCTTCCACCTCATGTCTATGGGATGGAGGAACGGGAGGGGGTGAGACCCCCTCATGTCCCCCTCGCATGTCCCCAGCACCCTCCTCAGCACCCACCTTGCCAGAAGATGAAGTTGTCAGACTCAGCGTGGCAGGCGGAGATGGGAGGGTGGTGGCAGACCTGGATGGAGGCGGGGGTAATGGGCCATGCCGCGGCCCCATCCGGCCCCCCTGTGCCCCCACTGTGCCTGGCCCTACCTGCTCGCTGATGAAGCGGAAGCCGCGGTCAGGCCTCACGCACTCATAGGTCTCTCCCAGCACCGGGTTGAAGGGTTTGCTGCCCGCCCGGTAGTAGGTGGAGGCATAGGCAGACACGGCAAAGGCAGCCACATAGACCTGTCCCCACAGTGTCACCACCAGAGCCATGGCAATGGCAGGGCGCCCCCAGAAACCCCGTGTCCCCCGAGCCCCCCAAGTGTTCCCCTGCTCCTACAATGTCCCAGGAGCTCCACATGTCCCCCAAGCCTCCTAAATCACCAAACTCCCCAAGTCCCCCCCACGCTCCATCCGTGCTCCCAGAGCCCCTGACCTTCCCAAACCCCTCATGTCCTCAAAGTCCCCAAGGCCCACATCTCCCCTGTGCCCTCCTGGCTTCCAAAATCCCTTGTGTTCCCCAAGCCCCCTGCATCCCCTCAGCCCCCCAAGTGTTCCCCTGCTCCTACAATGTCCCAGGAGCTCCACATGTCCCCTAAGCCTCCTAAATCACCAAACTCCCCAAGTCCCCCCCACGCTCCATCCGTGCTTCCAGAGCCCCTGACCTTCCCAAACCCCTCATGTCCCCAAAGTCCCCAAGGCCCACATCTCCCCTGTGCCCTCCTGGCTTCTAAAATCCCTTGTGTTCCCCAAGCCCCCTGCATCCCCTCAGCCCCCCAAGTGTTCCCCTGCTCCTACAATGTCCCAGGAGCTCCACATGTCCCCTAAGCCTCCTAAATCACCAAACTCCCCAAGTCCCCCCCACGCTCCATCCGTGCTCCCAGAGCCCCTGACCTTCCCAAACTCCCCATGTCCCCAAAGTCCCTCATGTCCCCCAAGCGCCCTCCCGACCCCCAAATTCCTGTGTGTTCCCCAAGCCCCCTGCATCCCCTGAGCTCCCCCTGCATCCCCTGAGCTTCCCCTGCATCCCCCGAGCTCCCCCTGCATCCCCTGAGCTCCCCCTGCATCCCCCGAGCTCCCCCTGCATCCCCCGAGCTCCCCCTGCATCCAATCCCCCAGTGCCCCCCAAGCCCCCGACCTTCCTGAGCCTCCCATGTCCCCCACATCCCCCGTGTCCTCCTGGCCCCTGAAGTCCCCCGTATCCCCTTACCCCCCCCCCCCGCCCCACATCCCCCGTTGCCGGTGCCCGCACCAAGCGCTGCCGCGGGTCGCGGGCGCGGCTGGCGCGGTCCAGGAGCGCGCTGTACTCGAGCTCCTCGCAGAGGCGCTGGAGCGTGTTGAGGGGCTCGTTGAGCTGCACGGGCAGGGCCACCCGGGACAGGTCCTTCCCCACGCTGCTCCGCAGCAGCCCCCACAGGCTCACGTCCCCCGACGGGGCGGGCGGCGCGGGCAGGCGGCTCCTCCGCCGCGGGTCCGGACCGGGCAGCTCCACCGGCGGCGGCTCCGCGGGCATCGCCGGGCCCTCCGCGCCTGCGGGACCGGGCGCTGTGGGATGGAGCCGAACACATCCACTCCTTTCCCGTCTTCTCATCGGTGACCCCCTCCCGGTACCTGTCGGGGGCTCGGCCGCGTCCTCGCAGGCGCTGGTGGTGGCCTCGCTGATGCACGATTCATCGTCCGAGGGCTGAGGACACGCAGGGACCGCCGGCGGCTTGGAGGGGGGGCCGGGGTCTGGGGATTACCCCATAGGAGGGGTTGGACCCTCCCCCGAGAGGATGGGGTGGGAATCGGGTGTCTGGGATGGGCTCGGGAGGGCAGATGGGGAATGCAGGAGTGGGGCTGGTGAGTGTTAGAGACTGGGGGGTCCCTGAGAGCCTAGACGGACTGTGCTAAAGGGGGGAGGACATGGAATACGGAGGGCAGCTAATGGGGAGGGGACACGGAGAGAGAACAAAGAGATGAACCCACAGAAGCAGCGGCAGAGGGGGGTCTGCAGAGCCCCCCCCCTCACTGAAGCCCCTTCCCCACCTCGTTCTCAGAGGAGCTGGCAGAGAGGAAAACCTCGCAGGCATCGAAGAACTCGGTGTGGGAATCGGCCAGCGACACGATGCTGCGGTTGGAGAGCTGCTGCTCCCGGCCCTTGGCTGGCAGCGGGTCCGGCTGTGAGGACAGCCACCACCTCAGCCCCCGTGACCCCCAACCCCGACCCCCAACCCTATCCCGGCCCCCCCGACCTCATCGGGGTGCAGCGATGCGAAGGAGTCCATGGTGGTGTCAGAGGAGACGGAGAGGGAGTGGAAGCGGCGCAGGGCAGCCTGGAGAGGTGATGGGGAGGGGGGGATGCTGAGCCAAACCCCCCCATACGTGTCCCCTCCAACCAGTGTGGGGCCGATGGGGAGGGGGGATCACCCCCCAACGGTGTGATCCTGAGACCCTGCCAACTCGCTGCACCCAACAGCACCAACCCCAAAGTACTGGCGGGGTGGGGGGGGGCACATCTAAAACTCCCATCCGGCCCCTGCAATCCTCACCCCGGCATTGCCGGCGCTGCCGGGACGCGGTGCTGAGCGCCGCCGGTCCAGCGCCCGCCGCAGCTCCTCCAGACGCGTCCTCTCCATCGTCAGCGCCGTCACCACGCTGCTGAGCGAGCCGTGCACTGCCGGGCACAGGGGCTGCATCACGGCACCCACCGGCGGGGCTCAGCACCCCTCCCAGCACCACCTTCCCCACCTTTCTGCGCCAGCACCCAGAAGCTCCTCTGTAGCTGCGCGTACTCCGGGGGGAGGCTGAAGGGAAGCTGGCTCTGGGATGGCTCCAGGTAGCGCGAGAGGTTGGGGACGGAGCCGTGCAGGCGACCCACCTTGGTTGGGGGGGGGGACGGGACATGGGGGTCAGTGAGGCCCTGGGGGGGCGGGCTGCATCCCCGCAGCAGTGGGTCAGAGCTGGGTGGGATGCTCAGCAGGATGCTCAGCCGCTCACCCTGCCGATGGTGTCGTCTTTGGCAAAGCTCTGGGTGCACCAGATCCTGGTGCTCCTCCTGCCTTTCTTCGGCCTCTCCGTGGCGGCTGAAGGCTGGGAGGAAGAGGAAGAGGCTGGAGATGGGCCCTTGCCATCAAGGGTGATGCTCAGCATCATGGCCACGTCCCACTCACCTGGGTGCCGGAGATGAGGGGTGCTGAGGGGATGCGGTGCAGGGCCTCCAGGCTCTGCAGCATTCCCGTCAGCTCCTGCAGCTTCGCCTGGCATTCCACCAGCTCTGCAATGGGCACAGAGTAAGCCCCGTCAGGCAGAGGGGATGGGGCATCACCCCCTGCCCCACACATCCCCTCCTGCCCCACTGACCGGCCGAGCAGCGCTCCAGCCCCTCGCTGTCCTTCAGCCAGGCGTTCACCTTGTCCCGGGAGCTGGCCAGGGTGGAGAGGGCAGGAGCACTGCCCGAGGGCAGGATCCGGGTCCACTGGCCCTGGAGGCACAGCCAGGGCTGCCATAAGGAGCCCCACACCCGGACCCTGGCCCACATCATGCCCCTGAGGTGTCACCCACCTGCATGTTGGGCCCTGCGGGATCCCCCCTCTCACCCTGGTGATGGGAGCAGAGGCTGCTCACCCAGCTGGAGAAGAGCTCTGGGGACTTGATCTGTGGGACAGGGGTAAATTGATGGGGGGGGTCACACACAACCCAACACCCCCCCCAGCCCCATTGCAGCCCCAGCAGCACCTTGAGGTGGTAGATGTTCTCCTCCGTGTCCAGGTCAACCCGCTGTGCCTTCTTGTTGACGGACATGACGGACAGACGGACATCGATGGCACCGTGCAGTTTGCCCTTGAGGACCTGGGGGAGCCCGGGGATGCCTGTCAGGGGGAAGAGCCCCCCTTCCTCATGGGGTCTGTGGGGTGCCAGCCCTGCCCTGAGCCCATGGGGAAAGGTGCACGGGTGCAACCCGGCCCCGTACTCACATCCTGGCGCGTGGTGGCATATTTCAGGATGCCGTTTTCCAGCACAAAGTACCTCTGGGGATAGAGAGGGGCAGTTGTTTGGGGGGGGAAGGAGAGACTGATCCCTGCAGCCCCTTATCCAGGGGTTCAAATCTCCACCCAGCACCAGTCAGATGCTGGCTCCTTGCTGCCAGCTCTGCCCGTTACCTTGTGCCAGCCCTTCAGGGGCCATTTCCTCTTCTTGAGCAGATAGCCCTCGTGTCGCTGTGGCTCCGTGCCCGGGCTGCCCCGCACACGAGGCTCCTCCAGCACCTCCCAGCTCTCAGAGCCCTGCAGGAATGAATGGGGGTCAGTGTGGGGCTCCTTTGGCTGATGGGGCCTTGTCCCCAAGCACTTGGTACCCTTGGGGATGGGGCATCCCTGTATAACACCCTTCCTAAAGTGGGGTGAAGCCCCCCCATGGAGACCCCACGGTGCCAGCACTGGATCCCACTGAGCGCCCAACCTGCTGAACGCTGCTTTGCTTGGAAGACACGGTGCTGTTGGAGCGGGACAGGGCCTTCCTCGGCGAGGAGGCGTCCTTCTCGTGGCTGCCCATGGTCGGGGAGCAGATGGGGATGCAGGGACCGGGTCGAGCCCCTGCTCTGGTCAGTGCTGCGGGTCTGAGCTCGGCTGTCACAGCAGTGGGAGCCGCTGCGAGGAGAGGACCCCACGTCAGGAGCCCACCCTGCCCCATCCCCTCACTGGAGTGACGGCTGGGGGGGGATGCTCTGCCCCCCTGTAAGTGGGAGCCTCACCCAGGACCTTCTGTGTGAGACGGAGCCTTGGACCTACCCAAGGCCTTATCTCGCCTGCAGCGCCCAGCCCTCACCCGCCTGCTGGGTCCAGAGTCCACTCCTGCTCCATCACCCCACACACCCGGTGCCACGGGGCAGCCCCACAGCCAGGACCCGGGGTACAGAGCCCTGGACCAGCACCGCTCCATCCCGTCGGCCCCCCCAGCCCCCGACGTCTCCCATAGGATGCTTCCCTTTGACCTTCTCAATTACAGGAGGGGGAAACTGAGGCACGGCGCCCCCCTCCTTCCCCGTGTCTCACCCGGGGATGGCAGCGAAGCCCCGGTACCGCCCGCACCGACACCTCCGGCCCCGCGCAGCGCTGCCCGGTGGGGAGGAGGCCGGGGGGTCCCCCAGCCCTACGCAGCTTGGCAGCGAGCGGGCCCCCCCCCCCCCGGCAATGGGGGGGTCTCCAGCGAAGCCTCCGCTTGCTCCGCGCAGGACGCGACCCCGGTAACGCAGCGGAAAGCCCGGCCCGGTGCTTCCCCCCCTCCGCCCATCCCCGTGTCCTCCCGCCTGCCCCTCGCCGGTGGCACCGGGCGGCAGAGCCCGGGTCCTGCTGCCGGAGCTCCCCCCGCCCCGCCCCACCTCCATCCCCGGGGTCGGGTCCCCCGGTGCTCACCCGGGCGGCCGGGGCCGGTCGCATCCTGCCCGGCGGCTGCAGGAACCGGAACACGGAAGGAGGCGGAGGCGCTGGGCCGGAGCCGCTCGGCTCTGCCCCCTGCTCCGTGGAGGACCGGAGCCGGCAGCGAGCCGGGACCCCCCCATAACCCCGCACCGAGCCGGATCCACCCCCGTCCCTCGCCCCTTGCCATACAGGGGGTGCATCTTGTCCAGGCTGCTCCCCCCCCCCCCCCAGCTCTGCTCATGGGGGTCAGGGTTACCCCCAAGCACAGCCACCACTCTATGGGGGTCCCAGCTTCCCCATTCCCCCCGGGACTTCCCTCATCCCCAGCACTGCTCTGCACACAGAGCCCTGGAGGAGCACACAGTCCTCCCCCCCCACAGCATCAAGGGGCTGGGACCCTCCCCACCTGTCCCCCAAAATCCAAGACGAAGCCTCTGGCATCAAGACCACTTGCTTTAATGGGTACAGCAGGATGCTGCAGTCGGTTGTTACAACACGTTCCCCCTTGCTGTCCCTATTCCAAGAGGGGTTGGAGCACCCCAATTCCTCCCCCGCCACACGCAGCTTCCACTGGGTGACCCCAGCACCCCTCTGCCTGCAGCACCCAAAACACGGCAGGGCTGTTCCCCACAGCCATGGGTGCAGGGAGCAAAGGGAAGGGCTCCAGGGTGGCGCTGCCAGACCCTCGGTCCCACCGCTGGCTTCCTCCCCAGTGCCAAACCTTTAACCCCTGGCCCCCCCACCCAGTGAAGGGGCCAAACACACGGGGCAGGGCCAGGTCCCAGCATCAATGAGCCCCTGTGGGCTCTGGGGTGGGCTGCGCTGGGGTCCCCCCCTCGGCCTCCTGCAGCCTGCGGATGTGCTGGTCCAGCAGAGCAGTGAGGTGTGCGGAGCTGCGCTGGAGCAGGGAGGACGTCTGGGAGGGCAGGAGGGACAGGGCACCCACTGCCTGCCCCTGGGCAACCTCCAGAGAGGGCAGCTTGGCAAAGTTCTCCACTCCCTGCCTGCTCAGGATGGTGTCGTCGATGCAGGCGCCTGGAAGAGAGGAGCAGAGCTGAAGAGGGGACGCGGAACGGCTCCATCGTCCCCAGAGGAAACGCTTGCTCCTGCCGGCAGGGCTCCCACCCCTCGCCGGCCATCCATCCCCTCGTTTTAATGGTCACGGATGCAGCTTCCCACTGGAGCCAGGCCACGGGGAACGCTCTCACCCAGGAGGTTGATCTGCGGCACTCCCTTCAGCACCCGCAGCATCTCCTTGGCCTTCGCTTCCCGGCTCACCAGCAGGATGTTGCGGGCCACGAAGAGAGGGAGGAGGTTCCTGTACTTGGACTGCGACAGCACGGGCCTGACGATCTGGGGGAGAGAGAGCCCTCAGCCGAGCACAGAGGCTGCTTCCCACCCTTGAGGAAGGCTCCGGCACCTTCCCCTTGCTGCCATGCCGGCAGCTCTGCCCCTACCTCGTTGAGGAAGAACTTGACCTCGATGTTGTGCTTGCGGAGGTAGTGCCTCAGCAGCACCATGTCCTCCCCGGGCATGGCGTTGTACTGGCACACGGCGATCATCCGGTTATCCCGGAACGCCTCCTCCACCTGCCGCCGCAGCAGCCGCACGTAACCGTCGTCCTAACGGGATCACAGCAGCCATGGGACACAGGGAAGGACCCGCGGCTGCTGCCGCACCCGGAGCCTCCGCCAGCACTCGGTTATCTCCTCCTGAACACCCTCAACGGGATGAAACCGGGCAGCAACACCCCAGAGAGCTCCGCCACGGCGGGGGGGGAGCCCCAGCGCTGCGCGGGTAAAGAGCCCCTCACCCATAACAGTTATTACCTCCTCCACCACTTCGGCTTCCTCCTTGCGGGGCAGGCAGCGCGGCGGCACGGCCGGCCGGGGGGCCACGTACTCGGTCACGGCCATGAGCTTCTGGCGCTGGAAGTGCATGGCCTTCCAGTGGCGGGTGACCGCCTTGGAGCCGCGGCGGACGAGCTGCAGGGCGGGCAGCCAGCCTGCGGGCAGAGGCACGGGTAAGGACGGGAGCAGGGGCAGGAGGGACCGGGCCGCATCCACAGGGCTGGAGCCGGCCCTCACCCCGCCGCCATGGCGCCCCTCCGCCGCTCAGCGCCGCCATCTTCGCGCAAGGCCTTGTGGGCACCAAGCCCCGCCCCTCCCGCCGCCGCCCGTCTCCTAGCAACGGCCACGCTGCGGCCTGCACCGCCCCGGGAGCCGCTCGGTCCCGGTGACCCCGATCCCAGCCCCATGGTGCCCGCAGCCCCACGGATCTCTTTGCCCGGCCTGGGGGTCCCAGCGCTGCCCTTGCCCAGCCCCAGAGCCCGCGGGTTTCTGCCCCCCATTGCCCCAGAGCCCGGCCCCTCACAGCCGGCGGCATCCCCGCAGCGCAGCCCCCCGAGGGCCCAGCGCATGGACGAGGACACCGGAGCCGTGGCCGGGCATGGGGACACTCGGCTGGGGGGGAAGCAAACCCTCACCGACAGCCTCATCAGCACCAGGATGGTGGAGCCCCCCCATGCCGAGAGCCGGTGAGGGTCCATAGAGCCCCCCTGCACCCCCAAAAAGGCGGGGGGGGGGGGTGTCTCTGTGCCCCAGGGACACCCCGAGCACCCCCTCTCCTCCAGAGCCTCCGAGCTGCCGGCCCCCTGCACCATCCGCTTGGATCGGGAGAGCATCGGTGCCATCGGGAGGCTCCGGAGCCTGTGGGACATCCACAGCCTCTACCTGCAGTGGGTACGGGGCAGGTAACACGGCTCAGTGGAGGGGCTTTAGGGTCCTCCTGAGCTCTGCAGCCACAGCCCCACAACCCTCTCCATAAAGCTCCTGCGTTGCCCCAGCGAGGTCGGAGCTCCCAAAGTCTCATTTTTTAATGCAGTTTCTTTGTCTTCTCTCCCCCCCCCCCCCCATCCAGAACCAAATTGAGAAGATCGAGAACCTGAGCAGCTTCCCCAGCCTGCGGTACGGGCACCCCAAGGACACGGCTTTCCATGGGCAGAGGAGAGCAGGGATCCCTCCTTCCCTTGGCAGAGCCAAGGGGGGGTCCCAGCTGCAGCCCCTGACCCCGGGGGCTGTGGTGTCCCCCCCACCTCACGCCGCTGCCCTCCCCGTGCTCTGCAGGTTCCTGTCCCTGGCTGGGAACCGCATCCACAGAGTGGAGAACCTGCAGCCCCTGCAGCACCTGCGCGGCCTGGACCTGTCCCACAACCGCATCCGGACGCTGGACCCAGGTGGGAGGCAGGAATGGGTCTGGATGTGGCTTGGGTCTGCCTCAGAAGGGCCCTGGGTACCCGGGAACGTCGGCAGGCCCTGGTCTGGGCTCTGCCCTCAGGTCCCAGTCTGTGGCTGCTGGCTCTGGAGCAGGTGAAGAGCTGCGGGAGATGGGGGGGGGTGGGGGTGGATGGGGGGGGTCTCAGCTTCCATCTCAGCCCCTTTCTGCCTTCCCTTGGACCTCTGCAGCTGAGCTGCCCCACAGCCTCCGTCTGCTCGACCTAACAGGAAACGAATGCACCCACCAGCAGGGATACAGGTGGGTCAGTGGAGGCTGCAGCCAGCCCCCCACACCATGGGAGACCCCACAGCGGGGTACAACTCCCCCCCTCCCCCCAGGATCACATACAGCCTTTTATTTGCTCTTCCTTTGCTGCTTGCAGGGAGCTGGTGCTGGGTGCTCTGCCCCACCTCCTGCAGCTGGATGCTCAGCCCATCCATGGCAGTGTGGATGAGCAGGAGGAGGAAGGAGGCTCCTGCAGCAGTGAGGATGAAGACGATGAGTTGCTTTCTGTGCCAAGCAGCCCTTTCACTGCAGGCAAAGGTGCTCAGGTTGAAGCAGGGCACGTTGCATGCTTGGGGGTTAAGCAGGCTGGTCCCTCTGTCCCCAGGGGTCATAGCAGTGGCAGGGAGCTCCATCAGATCTCCTGTAATTCTCCCTCCATTCTACCTGAAAGGAGGATGGAGTGAGGTGGGGTCGATCTCTTCTTCCCAAGCCATAGGACAGGCTGCACCAGGGGAGGTTTAGATGGAGCTGAGGAACAATTCCTTCCCCAAAGGGTGCTCGGGAGTTGGAACAGGCTGCCCAGGGCAGGGCTGCACTCCCCATCCCTGCAAGTGTTCACACACCCTCAGTGCCATGGGTTAGTGGTGGCCTTGGCAGTGCTGGGGAATGGTTGGACTGGATGAGCTTAAAGGGCTTTTCCAACCTGGTTGATTCCATGGTTCTGTGATCCCTGGCAGACTTCTTTGCGGATCTGCACCAGGAGCTGGCCAGGCGCTCTGAGAGGAGGAGGAGGGAGGCCCTGCAGGAACATCAGACCCGTCTGGAAGAGCTGGAGGAGCTGCGAGAGCGCCGGGATCTGCTGCTGCCACCCATGCCACTGAACCCATGCAGCATCAAGGCCCTGGGCCCCCAGCAGCATCAGTCCCATCCCCAGGTGAAGCAGGGGACACCACTGCCACTGCTGCCCCAGCGAGCTCCCAGCAGGAGCCAGCCCCAGACCAAGGCTCTGGAAGAGAACACTTGTGCCAAGGGAGCAAGAAACAAAGAGTTGCCCCCAATACTCAGCAGCAGCACAGCACCACGCGGTTGGGATTAAAGCTTCTTTATTCCTACACCAACCCCCTGTCTGCCACAGAGCATCCAACCCCTGCAGCCTGAGCGTGGGAAAGACACATGGGACCACAAGCAGGACCCCACATCCCACTCCACGTCCTTCTCCTTCTACCTGCAGCTGCGTTTCAGGCCACAGGCACCTCTCAAAGTGCTGGTTCCTCAGCGAGCTGGAGGCTCCGCAGCCCCAGGCTGGGCTGGAGACAGCAGTTGGGATGAAGTGAGGAGCTGGGGTGGGAACCGGCAATGTTCTCTCATCCCCCCCTACACAGGAGCAGGGTTTATGTGTAAAACTTCATCTCTGCCTCCACGCAGTCGAAGAAGAGGTCGGCCAGCTCCTCGGGGCAGGGGGCCACTGTCCCCTCCAGCAGTGCATTCATCCCCTCCAGGCCCTGCTTCTCCAGGTCCCGCAGCGTCTGCAGGAGCTTCTGGCCTCGCTCCTGGTGGCATCAGGAAGGGAGAAGAGCTGATACTTGGTACCCTCGAGGAGTTCCACTGCCTCCCACATCAATGGGGCAGCACGAGGGTCCCGGGGGGGCAGCAGTACCTGGGGAAGGGTCTGTGGTACCTGGTCGCTCTCCATCAGCTCCAGCGCTGCCTGATGCCGCCGGTAGAGCTCATGCCGCCGATCCACCGTGCTCTGGAACCGCGGGATCCGCTTGGCAGGGTCATCCCGGAAGGTGGGAGACCTCACCTGTGGCACGGGCTTGAGCCCGGCCACGAAGACAAAGGGCTTGAAGACAGACCTGCCGGAGAGGAGCACCCCTGGGACCGGGCAGCACGAGGGCAGGCACTGCTCCCCAGGGATGCTCAACCTGGGACACAGCCTCATCCCTGGCACCCCAACGTGGGGCTGTCCCCTCCGTGTCCTCACCTGGAGGGGTCAGGGGTGGCTGTGAAGAAGTGGACGCAGGGCAGAGCAGGGTTCTGGGGCAGCACAGACACCATGCTCCCCGCCGTGCAGAACCCCTCCGTGTCCACACAGATCCCGCTGGCCTTGTCCCGCAGGATGGCCATGAACGTCTCTGCTGTGATGTGACCTGGTGGGTAAGGCAGAGCCTCGTCACCACCGGCACCTGAGCTATGCTCACAGCGACCACGAGGAGTGGGGAGAAGCTGGGATGAGCCACGGGGGGGATGGTTCCTGTCCCCTGTCCCCACCTGCGTGCTGCTGCAGCAGCTCCCTGCCGGCGCTGTAGCGGGCTTTGGCAGCCTCCATACGAGGGGGCTGCTGCGTCAGGGAGAAGACCTGGGCGAAGCTGAACTCTCCATCCCCGCTCCACCAGCCCTGGCTGCGCGCTCGCTGCCGCAGCCCCGGGTGCTCGGCCGTGATCTCCTTCCCGATGCTGAGCTGGTTGGAGATGTTCCGGCTGCCCTCTGCCAAGGCCGGGCTGTGGGAATCAGGCTGAGGGACACACACACAGAGGGCTCCCCGTCCTCCCAGTACCACCAGCACCCGCTCACCTCGGATCTGCTGAGCTGCCCAGTACCGCCCAGCCGTCTCCAGCACCCAAGCCTCGGTGCGGTCAGCCAGCAGGAAGGTGTTGTGGTAGACGAAGGGCACCGGCTCCTCTTTGCAGCTCCCACCTTGCCCATAGCGCTCCAACAACGCCGTGATCACCTCCAGGGCCTCCCGGGCAGAGCTGCCCCGCTCCAAAGCCAGCCTGCCGCGCCGGCAGCACCCGTCTAACGGCGCTGGTGGGGGGCACGATGGGGCAGCCGCGGCACCGGCAGGGTCACAACACGGTCCTCACCTCACCAGGTCCATCCCCAGCAGCGCCTCGTCCTGCCCCACGGGCTCACGGGTCCAAACGCCCTCGTTGCCCACACAGACACCGTGCTCGTTGGCTCCCATCTCAGCACCCCAGAGCCAGGCGGGACGGCTCAGCACCACGGCGTGGGTCCTCTCCGCCTGCTCGATCTCCAGGTAGGTGCACTGGGGCGGGGGACAGGGCGCTGGGGCTGAGACCCGGCACGCTCAGTGCACTGCACCCGATGTCCCCAGCGCGGTCTCACCTGGACTTTGTCCCCGGGCCGGTGGGTGGCAGCGGGGACGTAGAGCACCTCCTGCACCTCGCTCCGCGGCCGGTCCGCGTTCTTGCCGAAGACGACGGCGGGAGCCGCGGTGTGCGGCGGCAGCGCCACGAAGCAGTCGCAAGACGAGGGTGTGGAATCGCATCTCGCCATCCTAAACCGAGCCCCGAGGGGGATGTCAGCCCCTTGGCCCCGTCCCCAGCGTTCCTTTAGGGCTGGGGGACAGCAGAGAGCCCATCCCCTGGGGGAACCTCCTGCCCCGGGACACCGCAGCTGGAACCCTCTCAATCCCCATAACCCCCTTTCGGGACCCCACGGACCTGCTGCCGCTCCCGCAACGCCGCCGCCGCCGTCCGGGCCCGCCCCCAGGCCCGCCCCGCCCGTGCGACGGCGGCGCCCCGTGGCCGGAGGCCGAACGGCGGCAGCGGTGGGACCGGCACCGGCACCGCCCGGGGTTTGGGGACCAGAGCCCGAAGGAGCCCGGGGACGGGGGTCCCGCGTTGCATCTCCCGTGGGGAAGGGACGGGGGTCAGGACCCCCAGTGGGCAGCATCCCCATGGCCATCAGCCCCCGTGGTGGGCAGCACCCCCCATGCTGAGCGCCCTAATGGGCATCACACCCCAAATGACAGCACCCCCCAATTGCTGTGCACGGGCATCACCTCCCGGTTGGCAACATCCCCCCAATGGGCTGCACCCCCACGGGCATCAGCCTCAATGGGCATCACCTCCCAATGGGCAGCACCCCCGTGGGCATCACCCCACAACTGACAACACCCCGAGTGGGCATCACTCCCGTAGGCATCATCCCCGTGTTCAGCAGCCCCATGTTCAGCACCCCCACGGGCAGCATCCCAATGGGCAGCACCCCCATGCTGAGCACCCCAACGGGCAGCTCCCTCCGTGGGCAGCGTCCCGCAGTCACGCCCGCCCCGCGGTATGCGGGCAGACCTGCCGGCAGCTCCCTGCCCGCGGGGAGGGACCCTGGGCACCCGCCCGGCACGTCCCGGGGTGCAGGATGCGGCCCTCCTGAGGCCGGGGTTCACCTGGCCCTCACCATCCCTTCCTGCATCCCCATCCCGAGGCCAGGGTGAGGGTCTGCGGCTGGAGAGGGGGGGGATACTGGGATACCGACACCTGGATGGATCCCTTGGCACAGACGGAGCCGGAGAGCCAGGGCGTGGAAAAACACGCGGCGTTTATTCCAGTACAAAACCCAATCCCACAGCCCCGCAGCCTCTTCACAGCACAAACGCTCCCCTCCTCTCAGGGGGGACACCCCTCGATGCAGCACCCCCGAACCCCTTTCACCCCCTTCCCCGAGGGGATGCCGGGGAGCCCCCCAGCTTGGCCGGTTCCTCCCTCGCCCCGGGGGAGGCAGCTCGGGGGTGGGAGACGCGGCGTTTCGGGGTGCAGGGCTGGGATCCCCACGCCGCAGCAGGCTGGACTGGTTTCGGAGGGTGGGAGCCGGCCTCCGGCCTTCCCCACCCGGTTTTACAGCCTTCATTGCCCCATCGCGGCAGGCAGGGCCCGGGGGGTGTGCGGGGGTAGAGCGCACCTGGGGCCCCTCCTCGTAACCCCCCCCACCCCGGCTCCGAGCCAGGCGGGGGGCAGCTCTGTGGGGCCGACACCCCGCATCACAGGGGACACCCCCCCTGCTCGGTGAGGCTGAGCCCCGGCATCACCGGGGAGCCCCCCTGCCAAGGGGGGTCCCTCCACAGCCCACCTTTGGGGTGCCCCCAGTTCAGCCCCCCTAAACCTGCCCTAGCAGCACAGGGGGTCCCCAACACTCCAGAGACACCCCCCCCGGCCGCGGCTGGAGGCAGGCTTGGCTACTAAAATCCAACGGGGCACCGGAGTGATGCTACAGCAACACGAGGAGGGGCTTGAGCCCCACCTCTGGGCTTCCCTCAGGAGATGAAATCCCAGCCAGGGGCTCCCAGAGGGAATTTTGTGCTGGAAAAGGCAAATGCTGGAGTCGGGGACGTCCTTCGAGAGCTGCGGGCAGCCCAGGTCACCCGAGTCCTGCGGGGGGACTGTCGGTGGCACTTGTGCAATGGGGCTGAGGACACGTTCTGAGACACACTCCCCCCCCCCCCCCCAGCGAGACTTCACCTCGTGCTGGGTTTCTCCAGCCCCATAGCTTGTCCCCAGCCCCAAGGCACAGTGGGGCTGCTGTCAGCCTCATTGCACACCAGTGGGGATGCAGACAGGGTTCTTTGGGGGGTCCTACCCCCCATCCCCATCCATAAGGCCCGCGGCCACAGCTTCGGCCCGAGATGTCCACTCTGCCCGAGTGGCAAAGCCTGGCTTCACCTTAATAAAATAATAATAATTAATAATATTAATTAATAATAATAATAATAATACAATCAAACCCGAACGTTTTGGGGCGCCCTCTGGGCACGGACCCCACTCGACTTCACCTCCACCTCTTCCCCCCCAGACCTTGGGGTGCTCCGAGCCCGGGCAGCCCCCACCCAGAGCCCCCAGGATGGGGCCGTGCTGGGAGATCATCCCCCTCACATCCGCCCCACTCCCCCAGATTCCCAACTGGTGTGAACTGGTGCTGCCTGGGGGGGCAAAGCCGGGGGAGCCCCGGGTGTCCTGAGCAGCCCCATCCACACCCGACCCCAGCGCTGCCCCCCAACACAACACCCCCCACACCCCCCACACCCCAGGTCCCAGTTTCAGCATCTCCTTCTGTATCCAAGGGGTTCTGCCAAAATCGGGGGGGATAAGACCCTAAAGGTCTAAAACCCAAATTTCGCGGCCCACCAGCCCGGGGTGAAGGGGGGAAAGGGGACCAGAGGAGGAAGATACGGGAGGAGGAAAAGCTACGGGATCCCCGGTTGGGGGGTGGCCCAGGCAGACACAGGGACCTGGGCAGGGACAGCTATGGGGTCCTGGCGGAGGGGGGGGACGGACAGGCAGCATGCACAGGGCTTCCCTGGAGATACGGGATCCCGGGGGGGGGGGCAGCATGCACAGGGAAGGGGCGGGGGGGTGCAGCGGGGGTCCCGCAGCGCCGCGGTCCCCAATGGGAGGGACGGCGCTGGGGGCATGGGGCGGGGAAGCTCCGGGCAGCGCGGCCGTGCCAGGCCGGAGGAATGCGGCCGCCCCGGCTCTCCCGGGCCCGCGGCCGCCCCGGAGCTTCCCGCCCGGGGCCGCGGCGGCGGTGGGTGTGGGAAAGCTGCAGGTGTGCGCTTGGGCAACCGCCCGCCGCGCCACGCGCCCGCCCCGGCCCTCCCTGTGGGGCGCAAGGAGGGGAGTCACCCCCTAAACCCCAAACAGAGCGGCCCCATAGCGTGAGGGACCCCCCCCCCACCGAACCCTGCGTGTCCCACAGGGGTGCCGGAACCAGCGTGGTTGGCAAAAGGAGAAGGGTGGAATGAGGAAAGGGGGGGGGGGGCTGAACCGGGAATGGTAACACTCATGGAAAGGGATATGGGGAGCGCGCCGGGGGGGGGGACGACTGTGGCTGCTCTCCCCAAGCAAAGGCTCCCGGGTTTCTCCTCTCTCCCTTTCTCCTTCCTCCCCTTTGGGCTGGACGTGCCCAGGCAGCGCCTGCTCCTTCGGCTCCCATTGATGTTGCTCCCAAACAGCCCCACCGCCTGCCAGCAGCCTCCCGAAAGGAGAAAAAGAGATGATTTGGGAAACCGGAGGAGGACGGGGAGGACGGGGAGGGGGGGAACCGGGGCGGGAGAGCGGGAGCGGGACAAGCGAAACTGCCGCGGGGCAGCTCCGGCTCCAGCGCTCCCCAACCGGCACCGCCGTGCATTGTGTGTATGTGTGTGTCCCCCCGCTTGGAGCACAAGGTGCCAGCCCTGCGCCCTCCCATCGCACCCTAAAACCCTTCGGAGACCAGCCCCAAAGGGACACTTCCCCCCCCCCCCCCCCCCAACCCGGGGCCCTCCCCACCTCCATCCGTGTCCCCCCCGGGGCTCAATGGCTCAGTTTGTGGGGGCTGCGTTCCCCCCCTCGGGCTCCCGCTTGCCTCCCTTGCCGGCCGACGGGTCCCCAGCGCCCTTGACCTCGGGTTCGGCCCCGTCTTTGCCCCCATCGTGCGTCTTCATGTGCTTGCCCAGGTGATCGCTGCGCATGAAGACCCGGCCGCAGACGGGGCAGGCGAATTTCTTGGCTCCGGTGTGGGTCTGGAGGTGCCGCTGAAGCTCGTCGGAGCGGGTGAAGCGTTTGCCGCAGAAGAGCCAGTTGCAGACGAAGGGTCGGTCCCCGCTGTGCCACCGTAAGTGCGCTTTGAGGTGGGACGTCTTGGCGTACGCCTTCCCGCAGCCGGGAATGTGGCAGTTGTGTAGGTGCTTCCGTTTCACGCCCTCGGGGCACGGACCCCCCCTTTCCGCCTCCTGGCAGTTGGGGCAGCGGCACGCAGCCTGCCCCCCGCCCCGCGGCACCGCACGACGGGCACCCTTGGGTCTCCCGCCGCCTTCCACCTCCGGCCCGCGGGGCTCGGGGGGACCCTCCAACGCCTTCGCCCCCTCCGCTCCCAAGAGATGCTGGGCTGGGGGGGGTAACAGATGAGCAGGGGGAGCGCAGAGCTGGTGCTCCCCACCACCGTATCCGCCTAGGGCCGGTGGCAACCCGGGGTGCCCGGGCACCTGCAGCCCCCCGCCTTGCCCGGGGGGCAGCTCCATCCAGCTTGCTCCGGCGTGGAGGTCCCACCAGTTGACGCCTCCTTCTTCACCGGGGGCACCGGGATGGGGGGGCCGAAACCAGGGCTCGTAGGGATGCGCCATGTCCGGAGGAGCGGCCGGTAGCAGCTTGGTGTAAGCACCGGGGGCCGCGGGGCCGTCGCTGGGCAGCTCTAACCGCGGGGGTCCATGCGGCTCGTAGGTACCGGGGTTGGCGAAGGCGACGTCGTCCGGACCCACCAGCGGCAGCTCCGGGGGGGGCGGTGGGTTCAGCGGGCTGGCGAATTCGGCGGCCCCCGCCGCGGCGGTGCCGGTGCCGTGGGGCTGGAAGGGCTGCAGCGGCTGCAGGTCCAGGTGGCTCGGCGAGGCGCGGGGCGCGTCCGAGGGCTGAGTCCCCAGGGAGCCGCAGACCGCTGTGAGCATTGCCGAGCGGCGCGGGGCGGAGGCGCAGACAGACCTGCGGGGCCAAGGAGGGGTGGGGAGAGAAGAGCTGTGTGAGAAGGGGGGGCACGCACACACCTCCTACACCCCCCCTTCCCTCTACCCCTGCGCACACCGGTATCAGTTCCTCTCCTGCACTGCCGTGCACCCCATCACCAGCGATCTGGGGGACACCCCTGAGCCATCGAGGGGGGTTCTGTGCTCTATAGCCCCGTGTGACACCAGGATAGTGACACCAGGTAAGGGGGGGTACCCCTTAGCACCCACCCCTATGTGCCTATGGATCCTGTGGCAGCCCCGGTGCTGCTGGGTCATGTTTGTGGCCCAAAGGGGTCAGTGCCTAAGTCCAAAATCTAAGAAACCCACCACCATCTCCCTTGTCACCCCCCCAGCCATGTCACCCCAACACAACTGGGGTCCCTATGGCGACGTGAGTGGTGTCCCCAAGCCATGGGGGAACACAACAGCATCCCGGAGGCCACTCTGGCTCTCCCATGTCTCAGCCACACTGCGAAACCATCTCCCCCATCCCTGCTCCTGCCCCAAGCCCCTGGCCCGGCTGCGAGCCCCCCAGGCTGCTGAAGGGGGAGCAAAACGCACCCCGCACCCCGGGGGCTGGTTGGCAGCAGGATGGGGGAGCGGAGCCGGCTGCGGGGCGGCAGCGGAGCCCCGGGGCTGAGCCACCGGCAGCGCTTTGAAGCCGGGCTCCGGACTGCTTTTGCCTGCGGCCCCGGACCCCCGGGGGCTACCCCTTGGTGCAGCCGCGGACCCCCCGGCACCCGCTGGCTGCCCCGTACGGCGCCGTGACTCACCGGAGCTGTGCAAACCCCACTGGGGACGGGCCCCACCCCGGTGTCGAAATCCACCTGCCGCCACCGGCTCCCGCCCCCCAACTTCCCACCGGCGCCGGGGGGGGCGCAGCGGGGACCCCCCTCAACCCGCAACCCCTCCCCTCCCAGTCCCCATCACCCCTACCCCATCATCCCCCCTGGCTCCCGGCCAGCCGAGTGGGACAGGGGCAGAGCCTCAAGGAGGCCCCCCAAGGGGTGCTGAAAGCTTTGGGGTGGGGGATTCCCTGGGCAAAGGAACCAGACCCCCACTGCCCCCCAATCCCCAGAGCAGGGAGGGGGTCTCCAGTGCTGAAGACATCCCCCACCCCAATTGCATGGGGACACTGTTTTCCCCTGCCAGATGGCACCAGAGGGGACAGGGGGACCCCAAAGGGAGCTGGGGGGGGGGGGCAAAATCCCCCCAATAGGATCCCCCCCATCTGTGCTACCAACACTTGTGGGTGTTCAGCCTCCAGGCAGGGTGGTCGCGGGTGGGATGAGCCCTCCGGGCCTGGCAGCCCGAGCAGGTTTAGGGGTGCTGCTCCCCAAGAGGGGCTCAGCTCTGCCCACCCTAATCCTGGGGGGAGTTTGACATCGGCTGTGGCTCCTGAGAATCATCCCTGTCTCCTGGGGACGCTAGAGGGGTGGGAGAGGGCTGGCACCAAGGGGCTCCATCCCTCTCACCCAGCAGTGGTCTCCAGTGGGGTCCTGAGCTCCCTCAGCCCCCTGCTCCCTATGGAGGCAAGATTGGGGTCACAAGCATAAAACCCCATGGTGACGGCATGTCCTGGGGCTTTGGGGTGGCAGCTGGCATTGCACAGGGTCCCCCAGATCTGGGGACAAAGGAAACATGGCAGGGATGTCCCCCAGCTCTGACAAGAGGAGAAGGGACCCCCCTTGAGGCCCGGACAGGTCCCACTGGACCCAGAGCCAACCCAGCCACACCACAGCGAGCTCTGGGCGCCCCACTTCCAAACGCCCCTGCCCCAGCACCGAGCCCCCCAACCAGGTCCCACTGTAACCACACCATTCCCTGCTCTGCAGCCAGGAGCGGGGACCAGCACTGGGATGAGATGGGGGGGGGGGGGGGGGAGCCGGAGGAGCGGCTGCCCCAGCCACGCGTGGAGGCTCCCGGGGCTTTTTTCCATCCGGGAATGACAACAAAAAGTCCCCAAGGAGCTCCCGGCGTCCCCCTCCCTGGCGGGGCCCGGCGACGCTTTGGCCATTTCACCGCAGGGAAACTGAGGCACCGGCGAGTGATGCGTCCCGTGAGTCACGGCCCGGGCCGGGCCAAAGCCTCTCTGCCCGTCTCCCGCCCCACCGGTGCCTCGCCCCGCGGCGGGGCTGGGCGGGAGGCGCTGCCCGCAGTCCCGGCCCCGACCGGGGGAGCCCCGACGGGTGGCTCCGCAACGGCGGCGGGGCCGGGGCCGCGGTGATGCTGCGGGGCTTGCGGTGATGCTGCGGGCTCGGGCAGGGAGGCGGACGCCGTGGGTTGGGGTAAACGGGGGGGATGCCGCCGGCTCGCCGCGTTCACCCCGCCGCCCACCGCACAACACCGCTCCCCGGTACCGAAGCGAAACTCCCCGAGGCTTTGTTATGGGGTGTGGGGGGGACGGGGGACAACCCCCATCGCAACCTCGCACCGGCGCTGGGTCCGTGCCCCAGGGGAAAGGGCTCCGCGCTGTGAGTTAATGGGGGACGGGACCGAGGGGCGGCGGGGGCAGCGCAGGGGCCGGCAGCCCCGGGGCTCGGTGGCCACTGGACGCGGCTGGGCGGCAAGCAAAGACTTGCCGGGGCTGGGCTGGGCTGGGGCGCGGAGCCACCGGCAGCACGTTCCCAGCCGCCGGCCGGTCGGGGCGGCCGCGGTAACCCTGACCAGAGCCGGGGGTCCCCACTGGGGAAGGGGGGGGATCCCCCTTTCTCCTTCACCGCCCGCCGCCCCCGCTCCCTCCGTCCCTCCCTGCAGCCGCGGCGGGGCCGGGCAGCACCGGGGTGGGGAAGGGGGGGGGGGGGGGGGTACGTACGGGTCTAACGGCGGCGGCGGCGGCGGTGGGGAGGTCCCGGCGGGTCCGTCCTCATCGGCGTGGCGCGGGCGCTCGTTCCCGAGGGGACCCCGAGGGACCCGCGCGGCTCCCCAGGGACCGGGCACCCACTGGGCCGGGCGAGCAGGAATGGCCGGGTCCCAGCCCGGCGCCCGGCTCTTCCCTCCTCCCCACCGCCCAGCTCCACCCTCCCGGCCCAGGTGATTTTAACCCTTGGAGGCAGAGCCCCAGCCCCGATGCTTGACAGGAGCCAGGTCCCGGTCCCAGGATCCGGCTCATGAAAGCGGAGGGAGGGGACGGGAAGTTCGCAGCAGACACCGCAAACGAGGGGGGTAATTAAAGAAGAAAGACACAACCGCCTCCCTCCCGCGCCAGTGGCCGCCTTCCTCCTGCCAACCCCCCCGACGGGGACCCCCGGGCATCCCCCGCCTGTCCCCCACCTCCCCGGCTGGTGCCTGTCGGCTTCCCCCCCCCCCCCCGGGGATGCGCCCCACACCATTTGGGGAGCTCGGAGCCCCCTTTGTGGCTCAGCCCTGTACCATGAGGTTAAATGGCATGGGGACAGGCACAAGGGGACAAGTTTTGGGGTCAGAGCTGGGCTGGTGGCAGGATGCTGATGGTGGATTCGGGGATATCCTGGCTGGATACTGGGGGTGTCCAACCCTCCCGGCTCCCATGTCCCTACCACCAATGCTGCCGGCACAGGGGGGTGCCAGGAGGGCGAAGCCCCAGGAGATGCCATCCAGCAACGCCACCAACACTTAACCACTGGGGCATCGTGTCCCCATTCCCATGGCCACAATGCCCAGGCCCCCATTGGGACCCTCGTGGGCCTGGCAGAAGCCAGCCCCACTCCAAAGCCCATGGGAGAAGGTGCTGGTTGCCTGGCTGGAGCTGGGATCTGGGCCGATGCCGCATCTCCCGGCGCTTGCCAAGCGCCCGGCCGGGCGGAGGGCGCGGAACTCCTTCGCCTTGGGGAAAAGCTCTCCTGGTTTTCATCATCCCAGGGATGGCTCCACCGTCGCCACCGAAACGCGGCTGCATGTGGGGTGAGCGTGGCCCCATGGCTTGGATGGGAACCCTGGGATGTAGGACCCCGAGGTGGGGACCTTGGGACAGGCGGCTTGGCTGTGCGTAGATGGTGGCGAACACCGGCTCTGGTGCTCTGCAGGGCACAGGGGGGATGCAGGAGGACCACAACCCCAGGGTCTCGCTGCCTCTCCTCCCCTGTACCTGCCTGAGAGGTGCCGGGGACCATCCCCGTGGCCTTGGGGCAGGGGATGCTCCGTCCTGGGGGTATCCCGGCGCTGCCTCTGGGGCCGGGGTGGTGGCCATGGGCTCCCCGGCTGCCTCGCAGGCGCCGCGCTGCAGCCCCAGCAGCTCTCCGGGACAGGGAGCAGGTTTTGCATGGAGAGCTCCAGGCACCGGCCGGACCGATCCCAATCCCAGTCCCCATCCTGGCTGTGTGGCCACAGGGAGCAGGGACCCCGTGGTGGGGACGCTGGCCTGGGTGGCCCTCTGTGCCCAGCTCCTGCCAGGAAGGATGTGCTGGGAAGCATCCCTGTGCTCCGGGCTCTCCTCCCAGTGCTCCAGGGACTGCTGGTTCAGGAGGTCCCTGCCTGGGGGTCCCCGGTACCGGTTGCCGCGGCTCCTCTCCCACCTATTCCCATTGTGGCCTCTTCCCCCCCTCACCACCATGTGCCTCCTCCAGGGACAAGAGACGAGGAGTTGGGAAGTCCATGACCCACTTGTGCTGCCGGTGCCAAGCCCCAAAGCTCCCCGGGGATGCTCCAGACCCATCCTCAAGCACCGCTCCTGGGCTGGGGGAGGAAGGAGGTACCGGGAAGTGGTCGGGAACAGTGAGGCGGGGGGGCTGAGAGCCTGCGGCTGGATGGGACCATGGGGACAATGGGGACAGGGGGGCTCCTGGGACCACCCATGGGAGGCGATAGCGCCGATGCTGGAGTACTGGGGGGGGGGGGGGGGGGGGAGCACCTCCGAGTGTCTGAAACCCCAAGCAGTGCCTTGAAATTACAGGTAATTACAGAGCCCATTTGCATCCATTGCAACGAGAGGCAAATGCTTCCAGTCCCTCACAGGTGCCACCCCCCCTGCTCGGGGGGGGGGGGGGGGGGTGTGTTCTGGGGGGGAGGGCCCTGAGTCCTACTGGGAGCCTGAGTGGGGACCAGAGGGGTCTGTGCTCCCCAAAACTACCGCCGGGACCGTGGTGCCCCGGATGGCACAGCCTTGGGGACACACACACACAAGGCCTTGGATGCACCCTGATGGGTGACGGGGAGGAGAGAAGGGCTGCTATAGGGCAGGGGCTGTGCTGGGGGGGGGGGGGGGGGGCATAGCCCTATGGTGCAAGGGTGCTGGGGACATCCCTGTTCCCAGGGGAAAATAGGGGCGGGTGGGATGAGGGACAAAGGGATGGAGAGACGGATGGACAGAGGGATGGACAGAGGAGGAGAGGCACCTCCTGCCCCCCCCACCCCGGGCCAGGGGGATGGAGGGAGGGAGGAGGGAGGGATGCCCCCCACCACAAGGGAGGATGTTGTGGGGCAGAGGGATGGCCAAGGAACCCCCCCGCAGCCCCGGGGCAGAGGCTTCAAAGGGCTCCTGGCTCTGGGGACCTGTCGCAATTTCCTTCTGCTGCCATAAAACAAATTGGTGTTGGGGGGGGGGGGGGGGAGCGTTTGCGTGTGCATGCGTGTGCATGTGTGTGCATGTGTGTGCATGTGTGTGCATGTGCTGCATCCCTCCGTGTGCACCTGCTGCCTGCATGCACCCCCACACGTGTGGGTGCTGAGGATGGTGCCCTGGGGGGGTTCCTGGGGGGGTCTGCAGCGGGTGCCGTGGGGCTGCGCTGTCTGGGTCGCCCTGACCTTGGGGGGAGCCCCAGGAGCAGCCGCAGGGCTTCAGACAGGGAGGATTTGGGGTGCCCCCCCCCCCGGGGCTCCGCACCCAGACAGCTCCTGGGGGGGTGACGCTGGGCTGGTGCTGTGGGTGCAGCCGGGGGTGATGGCTGGTGCTGGGGGGGGGGGGGCACCCCGAGTCTGCTGGGGCTGGCACAGTGGGGATGGGTGCTCATGGGGGGGGGGGGGTGTCACAGCCTCGGTTGAGCAAACCTGGGGACCGGCACCAGTCTGGGGTCCCTCAGCCCAAACTGGGACCCAGTGGGGTCCTCCAGCACCTCCAGGACAGGGTCCCAAATCCCCACGGCTGCTCCTGGAGCGCAGCCCCGCTGCTCCCACATGGGAGCCACTAAAGCCAATGGAGGAGCCACAGCTCCATGGCATTCATGACCCGGGGACCGGTCTCCAGTCTGGGGTCCCTCAGACCCATCGCGGGGTTCCAAACCCCCCTGAAGGGCACAGCCCCATCGCTCCCACATGGGAGCCATTAAAGCCAATGGAGGGGACACAGTCCCATCCCCATTCCCCCCCAAGCTGGTGCCATCACAGGGACAGGGGCACCGGTACCGCTGCGTCCCCGGGGACAGGCTGATGGCAGAGATATCTACCGGGATTATCGCGACGGGCTTCCCTGCTCGCGGTGTGTGCCCCGAGGCAGCGTTTCTCACCGGGAGCTGGAATTACTGTCGGGACTCGACCTCTGCGACGTGGCGATGGAGCTGGCGGCTCGGCAGGGTTAAACTGGGAGGTTTTAATTAGCCCCGGGTTAATCTCCCTGTTCTATCTGCGCCCAACCGGCCCCGGCTGTCAGTCACCGTGTGGGGAAACCTCCCCGGCACTGCGCATCGTGTGCCGGGATGGGCTGTGCCGGGAATGGGGATGGGGACATGGGGATGGGAACATGGGGACGTACCGGGGGTGGGACACATGGATGCATCAGGGATGGGACGCTGGGCTACTACACTGGGGATGGGGCATGTGGCTGCACTGGGAATGGGGACATGGGGATGCACCTGGGAGGGGGAAATGGGGTGCACTGGGAATGGGATACGGGGCTGCACTGGGGCATGGACATGTGGCTACATTAGGGATGGGGACATGCGGATGCACTGGGAACAGGGACGTGGGGATGGATGCACCAGGGACAGGGACATGTGGGTGCCACAGGGGACAGGGCCACACAGGTCCTCCCACAGCCACCTTCCCCCGATGCAGGGCTGTACCAGGACCCCCCTGGGGTCCCCATCCTGCTGTCCCCATGCCCGGTGTCGCTCAGACCCTCCACAAAACATCTTTAACTGCACAGAATCCATTGCAGCAGCTCCGGAGCTCGGCCGGGAGCGGGCCCGGGACGTGCCGTAATTGCTGTAATTGAGCGTGGGTTTGGGAGCGGGTGCGCAGCACCGGCTACCGGGTCCCTCCTCCAGGTCCTCCCGGTGTCCCCATGTTCCCATGTCCTTGAGTCCCTGTATCTCCACGTCCCCCTGTCTCCATCCCAAACCTGTGCGCCTGTCCCCTGCCTCACTGTATGGACCTGTGTTCTCTGTGTCCCCATCCCAGCCTCGCTCTGCAGTCCCCTGTGCCCCTGTCTCCCATCTCACTGCCCAAACCCTCGTCCCTCTGTCCTCATATCCTCATGTCGCTGTGTCCCCATCCCAGCCTGTCTGTGCCAGCTTGAGTCCCCTGTCCCCTGCCTCACTGCACAAACCCTTGTCCCTGTGTCCCTTTATCCTCATATTCCCATGTCCCCAACCCAGCCCCGCTGTGCAATCCCCTGTGTCCCTGTCCCCCATCTGGCTGCACAGACCCTTGTCCCTGTGTCCCTATATCCTCCTATTCCTGTGTCCCTATATCTTCCTATTCCTGTGTCCCTATATCCTCATATTCCCATGTCCCCATCTCATCCTTTCTGTGCCAATTGAGTCCCTGTCCCCCATCTCACTGTACAGACCCATGTCCCCGTATCTCCATGTCCCCATCCCAGCCCTGCTGTGCAATCCCCTCTCTCCCTGTCCCCCATCTCACTGTACAGACCCATGTCCCCGTATCTCCATGTCCCCATCCCAGCCCTGCTGTGCAATCCCCTCTCTCCCTGTCCCCCATCTCACTGTACGGACCCTTGTTGTTGTATCCCCATGTCTCCATTTCAGCCTTTCTGTGCCAGCTTGAGTCCCCGTCCCCCATCTCACTGTACAGACCCATGTTCCCATGTTCCCATCCCAGCCCTGCTGTACAATCCCCTTTGTCCCTGTCCCCCATTTCACTGCACGGACCCTTGTCCCTGTATCCCCATATCCCCATCCCAGCCCTGCTGTGCAACCCCCTGCCTCCCTGTCCCCCATCTCACTGCACGGACCCTTGTCCCTGTATCCCCATATCCCCATCCCAGCCCTGCTGTGCAACCCCCTGCCTCCCTGTCCCCCATCTCACTGCCCGGACCCTTGTCCCTGTATCCCCATATCCCCATCCCAGCCCTGCTGTGCAACCCCCTGCCTCCCTGTCCCCCATCTCACTGCCCGGACCC